ACATTCCCATTCCAAAAGGAACATGGGGAATAGGGAGGAATGGAATCAAAGTGGTGATACCAAAACCCATCAGAGCAAACATTAAATCCTATACCTCTTGTATCTAGCATGGGATAAGTGGTAGAGAGATGTGTGCTCCACATGGTTTGGTGGGTGGCCCTGCCCCTGCTGTATCACCCCCACAGCTCTTTCTTAGCATGGCTCTGTTCAATGCTTCTACCCTCCCTTAGCAGATATTTCACACATTCCTGGCTTCTCTGACTTTGCAGAATCTCCACTGGAGTTTAGGCTTCCTTCTCAAGCTTCGTGCAGTACCTTTTCAAGGGCACCCTAAGTGGGAAGTCTCCCTGACCCCACAACTCTGGCGTTCTGCATGCTTGTGAAACCAGAACTGTATGGATGATGGCAAGGTGTAATGCCAGCTTGAGCAGTAGTTCAGTCTTCTTGTATCATGGCTGCCATGCCTTTGAGTACCTAGATGGCTGGTCACTGAACTGAATCCCAGCAAACCAGTTCGTTAGGTACCCCTTTTGGAGCAGGTGCCCATAGAGTCTCTTCTCAAATGAAAGATTTACAGCTTTACATGCTTACAACTGCTGGTAGGTAGGGGTCTTGGTTTGCAGATTCTTCACATGCCCTCAAGGCATCTTTCCTGTTATTCTGATACATAACATTTGGCTTCTTTTTAATGTGTTCATCATGATGTAAAGTATTTGGCTTCTTTTTAACATGTGCACAATGGGCCTGTAATTTTTAAGTCTCTCTGACAGGTAGCTTGAACCACCAGTGGTGCAAGTCACCTGATTGAACAGTCACACTTGTATCACCAGTGATTCAAGGTGGCAGAAACATGTTAATGCTAATCTTCAGCAATCAGCCTGTCTTCCACTCCATCTTTGTGAGCTGGCAAAACTGAAAATTTTAAATGGACTTTTTGCTTCTGTTTCTCACATTAGATTAAAAACAGCAGGCAGTGACCATCTAAAGATGATCATCTAAAGATGTATTTGGGCTGTCTTGAAACTTCCTCCACCAGGTTAATTAGTCCATTGCCCCTAATCCCAGTTTCCTGCTTATTCCTCAGGAATAAGCAAAATGTAAACAGATTTTCTGCGAAAGCATAACTCATGGCTTTAAGTCCAACTGCCATTAGAGCGACACCATTTGTGTTACTAGATGACACCTAAAGCTGGTCTTTTCCATTTTTTTTTTTATTTGTTTGTTCTTTGGTGGTTTTGTTGTTGTTGTTGTTGTTTTTAATCTTTTTTTTAATCAGCATTCTAGTTTTCTGAGATTCAACCAAAATCTTCTGTCAGGGCTGCTTCTCTAGCTGATAACGTCCAAACTTTTCCAAAATCCTCCCATGAACCCATTCCAAAGACTTCCAAACCAAATGGTCAGATCCCACAGTTTGTCTTACTCACCTTCGCATCACTGACACCTACAGCTTAGAGGAGGTTTACTCTGGCTCAGATTTTTTGTGCATATTTTGCTGGCTCCCAGGCAGGAAGGCATGGTGGAAGTGCAAGAAGCTGTTCATCTCATTCGAGGAAGCAGAGAAAATAGGAGAGAACTGAGGAGAGAGAAGCAACCTTTCAGGACACAACTCCAAGAAATTACCTCCTCCGACCAGGCCCTTTGCATCAAAATAAGCTATGATGTCCCCATGATACAGTCACCTTTCAAAAGTTGCACCCATGCACACATGAGGTTGTTGGGGGATATGGGGGTTCCTGACATGAACCAGAATAAAAGGCAGATGTTTTGAATCAAGGCAGCCACAACACAACTAAGGGCAAAGGAGGACTTCTAAAACTGCTTCAGAAAGTGTCAAGAATGACAGGATGTGTGTTCAAAGTGAGGAGAAGTACTCGAAGGGGACTAATGGCAGTGTAAGTTTTTCTGTTTTTATTTAAACATTAGTTGTATTTCTAACACACCTTGTGAGTACTGTTATTACTGTATAAAGGAATAAAACAAGCTGTAAGTATCCTATCCAAGGTCATAATTCTCACCCTCAAAGATGATATTAGTGAAATGAGCTAAGTTCAAAAGATAGGCATAAAACTTTTATGATATATTATTTCTTTTTATTAACATTAGGAAATGCTTCAAAGGTCTCATCAGTGCATGGCATAATATAATCGACAAGATAAGCAACAACAACATGAACAAAGGAGTGGGAAAGTAGGATAGTTTTATATTGTGATCTCATTTTGCTAAATGTTTTAAAGAAAGTAATAGGAACCAATATTGGAAAGGTATTTTTGGATTAGATTTTGGAGAAGCTTTCAAAAATGTTCAAAGAGTTTGAATATACTCCTCTAAACATTGGAAAGCCAAGGGGAAAGATTATTGAGAAAGTAAGATTTCCAGAGATGACAGCTTAGAAACACAGAGAGCTTTGTATTTGTTAAGTCTTCACACTCCCAACTCTAGTAGGATTATTTATACCCCCCACTGAGTATTTTTAAAGAATCTAATCATAATATTTTTTCCTTTATAAAAATTTAGTCCCAAATAGAACAATTTTTTCTTTTGGTAAGAAAAAATGTAATAATTTTCTACACAATATTCATCCCAAAAGCATTTGTCTAGAATATGGAGAAAAGACACACTACTGATTCTCAGTGTATTTAGTCTTATAAGATAGCTCTTATATAGGTTGCAGTTGTTGCTGTAACAGATTTAGGGAGTAAAAAATTTTATTCTCTTAGATGTCAAAAGTCCCATAATGGCTTGTCAGGCCTGCATTCCTTTTGGAAGCTCTGGGAGAGAATTCATTTCCTTGCCTTTTCTGACTTATAGACTACCCGTGTTACCTGGCTTGTGACCTCATTCTTCATCTTCAAAGCCAGCGCCAGCATTTTCCAATCTCTCTGTCCCTCTGCTTTTGTGGATTTTGCCTTGTGTATCTGTAACCCCTATAAAACAAAGTCTTCTAATACACTAGGACAACCCACATAACCCAGCATAATCTATCCCTCCTAAGATCCTAAACTTAATCACATCTACAGAGGCCCTTTTACTCCATAAGGGGGGTTCAGATGTGGACATCTTTGGTTAATAACAGCCTAACAGGTGATGTAGTAATGCATAGTAATAATGCAGTATGACAATTAATGTTAGGAGTAATAAACATAACACTAGGGATTTTCAGAGTTTAAGAAGCTTGTATAAGCATAATAGGAAAACTCTGGGAATAGTGAATGGTTGGACTGAATCCTGGAAGATAAGTAGGGATCCATCAGATTAAAAAGGTGAAGAGCCTAGATAGAATGTCAGGTCAAAGGTAAGAAAATTATGCTGGTTTTATAATTAAGAGCACTTTGACATAATCACTGTAGTGGAAATACATTTAAGTGGTATTAAACATTTAAGTCAGAATAAGGCTCATGATAAAACCTTTATCCTCAGTCTCGTATTTTTCATAGACGATCTCCCTTGGTCTTCACTTGATAGTACAAGTTCCTTTGTTCTTAGTACCGTCCACTCAAGTATGGTTCAGACCACTCATGTCATTCATATCCCCTTGACTCATGAAAGTAAACACATTTTTATGAAAATATTTCCACCTGTATTTATTTCCATTATTTTTTTCCCTTCCGTGAAAGCCCTGACTAACCAAGGAAGAATATGGGAATAGAGGTACAGGGAAGAGACCTGAAACACCGTTGGGCCTATCGTAAAAGCAGTTAGCTGGCCGTAATTTTTAAATAAACCTCACTTAGCCAATGACGATCAGAAGCTAGGGGAAATAAGAAATAATCTGTGTTCTCTGTGTGCCAGCCCACTTCCCCTGTGTAGAAAGCCATCACTGCCCCTACCCAAAAGTCCTACTTCCAGGCATTCCTTTGGAAGCATAGCTGGGTTGCTCTGTCATTGGATTTTCTCTGACCTCATACCCTGGGTTGGCAGAGTTGTACCAATAAATCCTCTTGCTGAAGACCCATTTCACAGCTTTCCATATAAAATACAGGTCAGATCCCCACTTCTTACTGAAACATTTTATTTTTACTCTTCTCTAAAACTTACAATAAGTTTAGTATTTATCAAATACACTGCATGTTTCTTATTTTGTACATTTGATGTGATTTTAGTTGGAATATAGTTGGACATTTTAAGCTTTGATAATAACATTTCCTTGTTTTGTTTTGTTTTGCTTTGTTTTTTGGTACCAGGGATCAAACTCAGGACCTTGCACTTGCAAGGCAGACACGGCACCACTGAGCTAAATCCCCAGCCTGATAATAACAATTCTACTAAAGAAGAATATTGTTGCAACCTGTCTTCATTAAAAGTTTTTCTGTGGCCAGAATCCAATTATGAATATTAATTTGTTTATTTTGTATTAAAATAAATTCCTTTAGGCATCAATGCTGCAATAATAATTATTGACATAATATTGCTGACATTAATACCCTAATGAAGTAATATAATAATTTGTGAGCAGATCTGTTTGAATCCCAGTACGGTGATATTTCTCTGTATCTTACAACAAGCTACTTAAGCTCTCCAAGACTATTCTTTAATCTGTGAAATAAAGTCAGTAACAGTCTCATGGGTGGTTGAAAAGATTAATATTTGTAGCATGCCTGGCATATACAGTGTGCTCAGAAATTTTAATAACTGGCAAAGTTAGCTAGTAGATTTCATGTTTGTAGTCTGTGGTTTAAAAGTATTTAGCTTATTAAATTGATGCTTTATATCTATCACATTTTAAACTAGCTCCTATCAGTTGAGGGGTAGGTAGCATAGTGGTGATGAACATAAACTCAGTCCAAATTTCATCTCCATAATTTAGGATTAGGCTGACCTTGGGCCAGTGAAATAGGCTGTGCATTACTTATTGCATCTTTAAAGTGGACGCTGTGAAGAGTAAATCAGAACAGGTTTTTTAAGAGTTAAAAAATAGTTGCTGACACTGAGTGCTTTGTGTGAGTTTTTGTCGTTATTACTGTTTTTGTTGTTCAGTAAATTAATTTTTTGTCTCTTTTGAGGTGAATCTTGGAGGCAACCAGTACCTTTTCTCTGTCATAGTGGATCCTAAGGAAATGCCCTGCTTCTGTTTGCGCCACGATGTTGATGCCCTCCTCTGGCAGCCACATTCCAGCAAACATGATGACATGTGGGAGCACATTGCAACGTTCAATGCTCTAGGTATGAGGGAAGCAAGCTCTTTGCAGCATTTTGCGAAAAACATTTTTTTAAAAAATTCATTTCTTTCTTTTTAAATTGAATGATCCGAATTACATTTAGATTGATTTGTGCTTAGATTAGGTCGCTTGTGCTGTAGTTTACAGTGCTGTAGTTTACAGTGCTGTTGGAACCCTGGGGTTCCTCTCTCTGTAGGCATGTGAAGATCAACACAGAATGAAAATGGACATGGTTATCTAACCACTTGAATTGTTCTAACTGATCATTTCTTTTAATTCTGTTAGCTATACAGAATTAGAATAGAATTATTATAGAATTAGAATAGAAATATTAGAATAAGAACAGGGAGATTAACCAAGGCCTACGTGGAACTTGTATTTAAGTTCTTCAACCTGTAAGTAATGCTAGAAAGCTGAGGAAGGAGGATCACAAGTTTGAGCCTAACATGGGCAATTTGGCCACTAGGGAAGACCCTGTGTCAAAAAAGGCCTCAAATTCAGCTTAAAGGCCTGGGATTCAGTTCCCATTACTGCAAATATATACATACATATATGCACATATACACACACACACACATATATATATATATGTATGTTATATTAAATTTAAAAAGGGTTTGGGATGTATCTCAGTGTAAAGGCCCTGCATTCAGTCCCCAGTATCACATCAGGAAGTTTCTTCAGAGTAATCATTGAAGACTTGTGTGGAATTACTCTAAGGTATTGCATACTAGGAGACACCTTTCATTGAACTTAGGTGCAAAGAGCCATCATAATGAGAACACTTAAAGAAAGTAGTGATGAGTAGAATGTAAATGTATTTGATAAGACAAAATGGAAAAATACTAGCTTAAAACATACTGAAAATTTAAAAACATAATTAAAGACTTTATGCAATCTTTGATATTATGTCAAAATACATTAGTATTGCATGGGACAATTTTTTAGTGTGAATTAGCTACATTTACTGCTTTATTGAAAGATTATTTTAAGCTGGCAACAGGAAGTTAAAAGTATGCCTTTTAGTGAATATATATGTACAACACTAACTATAGAGATTTGTCAGTTATCCCTTTTTGTTAATAATGTAGGCTTCTAAACTGGCTAATTCAGACTGCAAATGGATTTGTATGACCTGACATACAAGATTTGATTGACTAATTTAACCCCATAATTTATAGCCTTAGCCTCTGTATTATAGTTCTCTTTCCTTTTCCTTCACTAAGGAAAGTTCTGTTAGATGTTTGGAACCTCCATTTGTATGCCCAAAGCTATTGTGGAGGAATCATATGCTTGAGTCGCAATTAAATCAACTTTACATTAGATAAGGACTCTAGATATTACATACATTACTAGTTCTGTGAAAGTTAATCAGAATAGCTAATTCCAAGCTACTCAAATAAGTGTGTACATCCACTTCACTTCTCATTCTTCAAACCCTACTTAATATATTAAAAAACAGTGCTGATTTTCCTATACCCCATGGCTTTGCTCATTTGTTGTTTGATAAGATCTGTTTTCACTGACATTCCATTTATGTTTTTATTTAATATTACACTATTCAGTAACCATATTCCAATTTGAAAACTCTTATTTTTCAGAATATACTATCACTTTAATCTAGTGTACATGACTTTAAGACAAGATTAAGATTTTTTTTTTCAGTTAGCTTTCCGGGATATTCCAATTAAGATTTCGGAAGGATCCTTGAGTCTTTTTCAGTATGTGGTGGTCTCAGGGTCCTATTTCTAGGAGCTAAAGTATACCAAAATCCTGTTACAGTGTTGGTATTGTAAATTCCATAAACGTTGTAGCGATGATGAGAGAAAGCCTTGTGCACAGTGCTGGCAGGGATGTATTATGAGTGGTCCTTCAGGCCTGCATTACGAACAGACTCCTCAGATAACTTTATGATACTAGTCTATAAACAGTTCCCATTCATTTGATAAAAGAAAATGATTCTGTGATAGCTTATCTGTTACTCCTCAGTCAACATAATAAATTGGCATTTAAAGATTTTTTGTTATATATTGTTTTAGATTTTACATTTTTTAGTGTTTTAATTATTAATAGAAATTAAGCGGGATCATATTGTGCTTCTCTTGAAGAATTGAAAACCTGTGTTTTGTTACTTAGGAAATAAACTTGTATATTTGCACCAGTTAGGAAAAAACTGGCTAATGGTTACTGGTTCTGAATTCTAATGACTGTTTTGAGTATTTATGGTATATGTTCTACTTGGGTACTTTAATTTGTAATCGTAGTTGTAGAATATTAAATGTTAAACCATGATTTTTCTCCCTTCTGTTTAATATATACTTTTTCTTTTCTTTGTTCTATGTTCTTGGCAGGTTATGTCCAGGCATCAAAGAGAGACAAAAAATTTTTTGCCTGTCCTCCAAACTGCTCCTATGCAGCCCTTTGTGAGTGTGTCCGTCACGTTTTCATCTACCGCCAGCCCACTCCCATGGCCACTGTGCTGTACAACAGAAAGGAAGGCAGGCGTGTAGGGCAGGTTGCCAAGCAGCAGGTAGCAAGCTTGGAAACCAGTGATCCTATTTTAGGCTTTCAGGCAACAAATGAGAGATTATTTGTTCTAACTACCAAAAACCTCTTTTTAATAAAAGTAAATACAGAGAATTGATTTCTCTAATATGTTGGCTTCTCTGTATTGGCAAAGTATTAGGTAGTAGCTAGTTATACTGTAAACCGTTAAATTTGAATGTGTTAAATAAAAACATCTTATGAATTTTTAATTTTTAAAGAATATTAGAAATGTATTAAGATTATGATTCTTAAAACGTAAAATTAAGCTTTAGGTTTAGGGAACACTAGCTTCTAAAAAAAAATACAAAAATCAAATGCTGCCAAGTATGCTTATTTTTTTAAAAACAAAGGGTAGAATCTCATCTTTTTAATGAAATGTACAGTTACGTGTTTAAAAATAAAAATATTTGTTGTATACTTTGCTCATTAATTAGGTTGACCTAGTCTGTACCTTCAGAATGTACAGGGGTAACAGTTAAAGTGTTGAACATTATAAACACTTATTTAAATGGACTGAACAATAGAACCTACATAAAAAAGGGAATTTCAAAAGTATAGCAATCATAATGTCCGCTGAGAGACCTTGATTTTTTTAAATTAAGCATAGCTCTGGCTCTGTTTAATTTTTATCTGTTTGCTGTACAACACAGACTAAGCTCTACATTATTATCCATTGTTTCATACCAAAAACTTCAAAGCACCGGTTTAGAAACAAGACGTGATTTTCAGTTCTGTGATTGAATATCTTTACTTGGCATGGCCTCTTAACCTCCAGTCAACTAAAGTGGGCTTCTTCCCATGATGATGAAAACATTCCAAGAGGGCAAGCTCCAGTGTTCAAAAGCTTGCTGCTCTGTTCTTCCATCGTATTTGTTAGTGATTCATCAGGCAAAGCAAGTCACATGGCCAGGCAGTATGAGGGACAGCTCAGGGTACAGATTGCAGGAGGTGTGTGATTCATGTGGTGCCATTACTGTAGCAATCTGCCACACAAGGAAAAACTGCAATCATTTCTCTTTATTAAATAAGTACTATTTTTCTGAAACTTTTAAGAAATTGATTCTGTTTATACATTAAACTTTTTCACCATACATTTTAGTTGTTCATACCTAAATGTTTTTCCCGGGTTTTGTTTTTTGGTTGGGCGGGGGTGCTTTTTTGGCTTTTGTTATGTTGTTTTCTGCAGGACTAAGGGTTGAACCCAGGGAGTGCTGAGCTATATCCCCAGGCCCCTTTTTTTGTGTTTTATTTTGAGATGGGAACTCAGGTTGCTCAGTTGGCCTCAGGCATCACTCCCTGTGCCTCACCCTCCAGAGTAGATGGGATTACAGAGGTGTGCCACTGCACCCAGCTTTCCAGGGATGTTTTACTTTAACTTTTTGAGGTATGTACCTTATGTAAACCTCAATATGTGTTACATATTTTAATAAAGCAAGTACGACCCTAATTTAAGGGACAGAAAATGAAGACAAAAACTACAAGATGGAAAATACTTGTTCTTAACAGGTGTTTTATCTTTTGTCTATCTGGGCATGCATTTTGCTGAATTAAATTTTAATGAAAGTGTAGGACCCTAGAAATTTAGTCCCAAAACCCTCCCCACTTAGCTTAACTGACTCCATTTTTAAGCTGAAAAACCATAAAGTACCAGAACTGACCCCCGGATGAGCTCAGGCAGTAAAAATTTGCTTAGTTTACTTAGTTTGCTTAGTTTGCTTGGTTATGGCAAGGGCAGAGACAGGCAGGCAGAAGAAAAGCCACTCCAACCTAGAAGAAGAACAGGAGGTTCTGTATAGATAAGAGAAGCTCACCACATTCCTGAGTGCATTGACTTCCTCCTAAACTGGCCCCCTCCCCAGCCTGAGATAGTTTTCTTCCCACTTTTACAAGTACCCCAGCAACATCCAATAGATTTAAAGTATTAGAAAAGAAGCCAATAAGATAGAATTTCAAGCCACCCTAACCCTATAAAGATAGGCTGAATGAATGGGTCGGGGCTTCCAGTTTAGCTGCTGCATCGGTGATACGGGGGTCCAGGCTCGAGCTTGTAATAAACTGGTGTATTTACATCAGAAGAGTTTCTTGATGGTCTTCTTGGGGATTTCACAACTTGGGCACAACAAAAGAAAGAAAAACAGGCTTGAGAGATAAAAAAGGAAGATGAGTACGTGTTACACACGTGTTGTGACTCCGCGATGTGAACCTTTGGGAGCCTTCAGTGGTACAGGTGCCCCACTGTGGCTGTGCCAGGTTTGCTGCCAGTACAGTTTCCGAGCAAGAAAGTTAAGTGGCTTAAAATATATTACAGACCCCCCATTTCTAAGAGTAAAATTTTGGTCTTGGGAATATGGAAAATGTGTCAGAAGGTACGGTTTCAAGATTGAAAGATCCCATTGATTTATTTTTATCTTCTGTCTCTGGTACCAGAGAAGTTGCTTTCAAATTTCTTTTCATAATACACAGTATTGAGTCACTAAGCTATTTTTCAGTTAAAAAAAAAAAAACTCCTTTTAAAAAAAACAGTTGTAACATTTATTAAGCCCCTACTTCATTTTTAAAGTATCTTTTAATTTACTCATAAAATCAGATGTAAGAATATAGACTTTAGTCCCCAGAGTATAGTTACACAATGAAAAAGTTTTCACCATGAAGTCAAGCTTCTTCTGGGTACAAGTAACAGAAAACACGACCTAAATTGACTTAGGGAGAACTTAATGGCTCACATTACCAAAAAATCCAAGAATAGATCCAGTTTTAAGTATTGCTACATAGGACCAGATGATACAATCAAGGTCCATTTTCTGCTACAGCCACTTGGTGCCATCCTTCTGTTGGCTCCATATTTTGAGAAGTTCTTTCCTTACTATACTGACAGATACGGTTCTTACACCACTTCATTCTCATAGCCAGGAATAAGGCTTTGTCCTAGAAATCAGAGCAAATGCTCATTTTGAATCATTGGTTCTAAATAGGTAAAGTGCCATTTATGAGCCAAATACATAAGGAATTTTACATTTGCAGAATACCCACTGGCTTATCTTTAGGTGATGTCTACATCTGATGCCGCAAAGGAATCCTGTAACATACAAATATATGCAACTAAAAATTAATGCAAAAAGAAATTGATGGTATAACTTCCAAAATAAAGGGGATGGGTGCTGATATCCAAAAGTACAGAAGATGTATGCTAAAACGTTATTGAATTACAGGAAAAGCTAATGAAAAACACACTGACAATCATTTATATTAATAGAAAATTTTGATAATGTTGAATACTTGATTTTTAAATACAATTTATTAGCATTATTGAATTGACTCAAAAGGAAAATTAAAATGAATGGAACATTGAAAGAGCCTTTCAGAGTTGAGGTAGGAGACTATTAAAAAGCAGGATTTAGACACAATCCAGATGCTGCCTGGAATATGAACTTTGGTATATCTACCTTTTAACCACACACATCTAGAACCACAAACAATTACATTGTGTGTGGGGGGGAGTCTTAAGATGGATGTGAAGTCATTAGACTATGGTCTTATGGAAATTTCCATTCTGCTTATACATTCTTACCCATTTTCTATTGATGACATACCTCCTCTTCTTCCTCAACATTCAGAAACCCATGGAAGCTCCTATTTATTTTTCCTGCTTTCTGGGAACATGATTCAGAGCTATCTGAATCTCTCTCCCGAATTGCAGTTCTTAAGATCTGGCTCCAAATAAAGTCCTTCTCACTTTTGTAGTATCTGAGTTTGGTCTCAGTGATGAAACATACAATAAACTGCGTGTTTTAAGATAATGTGATATTGCATAATATGTATTTGGTCTTCTGTCCCATTTCTTGGCATTCAGCTTCGAAAATCCTTGGAATGTTCAAAGTGGTAAGTGTCTTTTTTGTATGCTAATAAGTTTGCTGATGACACCACTTTGTAGCTTCAGGATGGGGGCTGGACACAAGAAAGATCAAGGTGTGGCGAGGAGATTGGGATTGTAAACCCCACCTCCTAACCTCCAAGGAGGAATTAAAGGTTAAATCGATCAGCAGTGGCCAGTGACTAGTCATGCCTATCAAATGAAAACGCCATAAAAAA